AAGAGGGGCATGTAATAATAATAGTTGGTCATGTAGCCACTTTATTATATCAGTGAATTTCTGATGAACTCTCTTGCTTATGAATGAATGAATCTTTGAAAACAATTGCCCCAAGCTGCACTTGGCTTTGAAACCAGAGCCCCCTGGTGGTGCCCCACGGGGCTACAGACAAGCACTGGCCCTCGCAGTGAATTTCTTCCAGTTCTTGGTTTTTCTATTGTTGGTAATGAAATGTCAAAAGTTTTTTTACACTAAATATTCTAATTTATTGTAATAAAATAATCTTATTTTCTAATCTGCTTCTCTTGTTTAAGGATTGGGCAGCTGTCATTTAAGCATATTTGATGTCATTCTTTGTGAAACAGTACAAATTCAGATTAAGCAAATTATTTTTGACTTTTTGAATGATTTTGTTTCATTTTTATTAAAGGCTTTAAGTCAATCAGATTAATAACTAGTTGGGTTTTTTTTAGTGTTTACATGTAGAGGCTCAAACAAAGACCAATTCAAATTAATCTGCTTGCTTTTGAAAACTAGAGCTGGCCAATATGCTCTACTAATAGATAAAACAACAAGCATGAACAGGAACTAATAAAACTGTAAAACAGCACTAATAAAAGAAATGCAAGCATACATTTAGACAAAAAACTCACTCAAGTTTGAAAGCTACAGAATCGAAACAAGCCTTTAAGTGAGATTTAAATATGTGACAGAGGGTTCCTGACTTGACATGCCAGTCCATTTCATGCCTGCAAAACTAGATCTTTGAATCATTTCTGAAATAGACAGGAAGCCAGTGCAGGGAAAGTAAAACAGGAGCGATACGATCACATTTACATGTGGCTGTCAGAAGTGATTAGGCAACATTTTTAACCAGCTGCAGATGAGAGAGTGAGGAATGGCTCCTACAAAATAATCTGTACTGCTGCAATAATCAAGTCTGAAGATGAAGGCTTATATCACTCAAACTCTGGGAACAAAAGAGCTCTCGACCTTCACGAAAGACCTAAACTTGAAAAAAAAAGAAAAATGGTCATTGTTTTTTCTAAAGATCATAAAAGATTACACCAAATGTTTTTCTGAAGGTGTCAAAACATCAAAGATCAGTACTGTAGACAAAAGAATATTAGCCGTTTTATTTTTCCGTCACTTGGTTTCAGAAAGTTAAATCTCATCCACTATTTAATGTCATCCAAACAGCCCAATGAGAAACTAAATGGTTCTGCATATTTATTCTTTAGCCTTATCCTTGTATATTGTTGTCCTAATATTCACAATTCAGTTAAAAATAATTCAAACTGAAGTGAGCAATTTAAAAAAATGGTACCAAATCATTCTCAGCTAAATGTTCCTGTAAACATAAAGTCTCTTTTTACACCTGTTAGATTTTAGGACCGTCATTCTTATTTTCTATCCTCAGTTTTTCTATAAAGTAAAAACTTGTCCCCACAAAGTAACCTCCAGACTCAGATTTTGGCTCGGTGCCCCTACTGTACAACATTTTAGTTAGTGTTGTACTTATGAGACATAAGCTGATGGGGAAGACCCAGCTTCCATTAAAACAATCTGCTTATTTAATGTTTGAAAGGTCAGATGCACTGGTCTGCCAAATTTAATTATTCTGAGAACCTGCACTCTGCAAATGAGAAATCTTAAAATCAGTATGCCTGTACATAACAGATTGGAAGTGAAGGAATGTGCTTATATTTTAGTGTGTTTTTCTTTTTAAAAACAAGATCATAATTAGCTAAGCATTATTTGAGCATGTATGCTATGAGTTTGGAATCACTTACAGGACACATGAAACCTTCAGGGCAAATGGACAACTATAACCCATTCATAAGGCACTCAGAAATATCTTCAATTTCAAACTTTAATCCTCAGACTGTAACTGGAGGGTTCAAATGATGCCTTTATATTTCTAATTTGAGGGAGAAATTCAAGGATAAAATAGTTCGATGACACTATCATTGAAACTGATGTCAGGTTGATAAGCAAAGATCTCACTTTTCCCGCCGATGGTTCAGGACAATCTTACCTTTACTGCTTTAAGTTGATCAGAGTTCCTTAGGTAGAAGTTGTTGTGAACTTCTACCTTCACAACAAACTGAATCCGTTTGAATCAAAGGATTAGTAAAAATAAAGGCACTTTATTCCCACAGTTAACTAATGTTGTGAGCCTGCTTTTCTTCTTGTCAGAAGAATTGCATCATCAACTTTTTGAATTTCTAGAAGAGTTGAGATAAATCTGACAGACTTTCAGAAAATCACAGAAGAGACCCCAGAACTCTGCAACATAGAAAGATCAAAGTTCCAGCCCTCTGTATGCTTCAGAAATGCAAAATGTTACAGGAAAAGATAAAATGCTGTTCAGTTGGCAAAAGGCATCAATCTTTTGGGCTGGACTCTGGTGCAGGGAGAAATTATAGACAGCAAAGGAGGTTAATGCAAAATGATTTATCAAAAAAGTGAATATGCAGTGATGATGACAGATGGGTTCTTAGGACCTTTCTGTCATCATCACAGCTTGTTCCAGCAGGACATGCGTAAGCCCTGCCAAACAATGTGGTTTGGAGGCCACACCGTTTGAAGTTGTTACCTTTTCTGTTTTATGACATCAATCTCTCTATTATGTGCAGTAACCGTGAGTTGAAACGTCTGTGGATTGCTATCAAGAGGAAGATATGTGAAAACAACAAGCATAGCTCCGCCATCTTGTTACTACATTCTCCTACCGTATTGTGCAACGCCCACTGTTGACTCATCCTCGGTTCCCCAAAGAGGTGGAAGCTGATAAAGACTTTTAGGTTTGAAGGTACCTGAACCAAACCAGTTCAAGGATTAGAGTTTTCTTGGAGGAAAAGGCCTATGGGAGAAGCAGTAAGTGATCAGTTGGAGGTTTGGACATTATAATAATAATGAGAAAGGTTCAATGATGAAGAATGGCAGAAATTCCAGGAGGAGGCAAGTCAACGCACAGACCTGGGGTTGGCAGGTTTGATCATTGATGGTCCAGTAATGGTTTGTTTCCTCTGCCCTGGTTGGAGCTGATGATAAGGTGAGCATAGCAGTGGAGCAGGGAGCAGCTGTCTGGAGAATGGCAAAGATGGGGAAAGATTAAGGTAGGAGGTCTTCACTCAGATGCTAGGACTCTGCAAGCAGCTTGTTAGAGTCCTGAAATCATACATAAACAGAGGAATACAGTTCTGTCAGTGGAGACAAGAAAGGCTCAAGTCTGGACTGCAGGGATCTTGGAATTGAAAAATTAGAGGCCCAATTACAACTTTGGTGAGCAAAACAACCTGGCAGCTGGTTCAGGGAGTCAACTCCTCTTTAAGCACCTGCTGATGAACCTTAATGAGCTGCAAGCTGCGGCGCTTGCAGCTGCGGTCACGCCCTGGAGAAAAGGATGAGAGAAACAACAGGCTCTACCTACCCAGCTCTGAGGATGAGACGAAAGACAGTTGTGCAAAATCTCAATCCAGGGTATCAACAACTGAACAACAAGGTATTGTCTTATGCTCTATTATTAACACATTCATTATCACATCAAGACAACCTGTAAGCAAATTATAAACAATAACCAAAATGTCTTACAGATTCCACTAGGTGCTTTGCTTTTTGATGTAATTTCTCCAGTAAGATGAGCTTCTTTATCTTCCACTCCTGTGATAAATGTTGAAGTTTTGTCCACTAAGCCTCTCTGGGTTTAGTCAAAGATCCACACCTCACTTCTAAAATAAAAACAGACACAGTACCAAGTAGTTCATAGACACTTAGACATGCGTCTAAGTATCTTCTGAAGTAGTAGCACAGGGGGGATTTGCATGCCAGATATTATTAGATCACATTAGACTGCATCAATCCAGCCTGACACATTCCTGGATCTGCACCCTGTTGTGCAGCACACCCAGATTTAAGAGCCAGATTTTTCTTTTTTAACCAACACAAAGGAGTCTTTGAGTTCAACTAATTGTATCTTTAGTGTAACAAAACCATGGCTTGGGTCATGGATTATTTATCATATGCATGTGGATTTGATTAACTTGTTTATGTAAATAAAGCCAGAAGATGCGGGACCAAACTATGAACATCACTGTGAATTAAAATTGTGGGTTAAATGATCTCTGTTTTGTTTTCCAAAATGTTTCATTTTCACTGATGAGATAAAAAGTCAGACTTGTATGTTTCTTCTCATAACTGAAAAATGACACAAAGCCTTCTGGGTAATAAAACACATTTTCTGGGTAGAAAAGTTAGCGCTGCAAATAATATCCAGAGAATTTTTGTGATGATGAAAAGGATTTAAAAGGATTTGAAACAGATGAAAATCTTTCAGAAAATTATAATCAATCTTTGTCAAATAAGTTTTATTTATGAAGACGGACTCAGATTTCTTCACTTCATCTAACTCTTCACTATAAAACTTTTTCTTGGTTGTGAGTCAAATGAGTCAAAAATAAACATTCATAAATGGTGCATGTGATTTAAATGCAATGGCATTGTGTTGGAAAATAAATGTATATTTGTGAAAATATTTTAGAGTCACACTGTGGGCAGATCATCCACAAAACAAACTCTTGAAAGATTGATGTTAAAAGTAGCAGATCCTGTCCCCACCAGCTTCATCCATTTGGATCCTCAGTTCTACTTGAAGACAAATCTACCAACCACTGCAAACATGAAGTTCTCTTTAAAACTTGAATTCAATCATTTATTTGAAATGTTCTTAATGCAATGTAATATAATTGGAAAATATATTTTGTTAAAGAATGGCATTCATCTATTGTCTCATTTCAATCCTATAAATAATTTTGATCTGAATGGCTTGTCCGCCTTATCTGCTAACTGGAACAGGACATGTTCCTTCCGTGGGTCTGATCACGTCCGTGGATTTCACTACAGACAGTGAAGCATCACGTGTGTGACAGCATCTCGCTCAGCTGGCATCATGAAGCCGCCGCCGCCGACCAGGAGGCGGGGAAGCGGCTGTCCGTGGTGCTGATGGCGGTGATGCGCTCCAGCTCCACGCTGCCGCTACTGCGCATGTTGCATGACAGGTACACGCAAGCCTCCATCTTGGGCATCCCGAGCTGAGGCGAAAGGGCAGCAGCCATATACACTCTGATTCCAAAATTACAACAACCGGGAAATAAACACAAAAATTGGCACATTGCCGAGATGTAACTTTTCTTCCCTGAAAATATCCGCTCAACAATTTGCTTCTCAGAGGTGAGCGGAGAACAGGATGGCAAAGAAAGACAGCGACTGGTCTGCAAGGCTCTGAAAGGGTTTCATCTGTTTAACTGTCAGCTGTTCTGGATTTATCTTTGACAACAGGAAAACCAAAACGGTGAGTGGAGCGGTGCATGTTCAGAGATGAACGGCTAACATGTTTTTGATATGCTCATAGCATGACGTGACATCACAGCATCGCCTTCACATGCATGGGCATCTCCTTCCTGCGACCCCCGTCATGGTGGTCGCTGTTTGCTGTTCAGTCTCCCTCCAGATGCTCGGAGCGTCAGCCTCCTACTTTTCTCCTGTTAGAAACGGGATGGAGGTGATGAGCAGCTACAGGTTGGGGGAGCTCCGGGTTGCTGTTTTTTTTTTTTTTTCAACCTTTGTTGTGAGACAGGCCTTTGGTCAAAAATACTTTTGTGGATTGAAATGTTCAAACCAGGATTTTGTCATTTCAAATGTTAGGAAAGATATGTTGTTGGTTTTAGACGCAAAACATATCACTGGTAAATTATTTTGAACATTTGCAGGTTCATGTTTCAGATATCAAATCAAAATTTCATGAACAATTAAAAAGTAATTTTGTATTTCTCTTCTTTTAAAATGTTGAAAATGTCATATTATGTGCAATAATGTGTAACCAAATGTTGAAAAGTCAAGTTTAAGCTCTCAGACTTGACCATAATATCAACATTTGGCTTTGGCAGAAAAAGGATTAATTGCATTTATGTTTTAAGATTGTGGATATCTGGACCTGAACATGAGTTGGACATGACAGTTGTGCCATTGGGCAAGCAATGTGAGTCACTGTGTGACACAACCTCTGTATGTTTAAAATTGCTCGTAGTACAACAGAGCTGGATAAGCCTCAGTCTGCTGCATGGCCATGGTTGAGTAAACTCTTTTAAATCAAGTCATATTTCTGTCAGGATGTATTCATATGTCCATGTTAAAAATACAGAGGTGCCCTTTTTAGTACTGGGACAGTACATGACATGAATGCTATTTACATGGCCTTCATGTCATGTACATGCAAATTGTTCTTAGGTGTATCATTGTGTTTCTCATAAATATGAGGATGAATGGTTGTTTGACTTGCATCCCGAGTTCCTGTGATTGACGGCTGCAATACTAGCTGCCATATTTCCTCATAAAAGTTACACAATAAAATGACATAAACAGCAGTCAGCTGTTTATGCAGCTGTTTATGCAGCTGACCGCGCAGCATCCTGTGACTATTTTTAAAGTGAATTCAAGTGAAAGCGAGGCTAACAGCTGTCTGTGTTTTGGCAGGCTTTCCAAGAGCGCATACGTTGTTTTGACCTCTGTCATGGGGGAGTGGGCGGAGTTCTGGGGAGCATGACGACATATGTGAAAGGTCACAAGCTCCACCCAGAAGAAGACAAAAACTATCTATAATTCAAGTGCTCTACTATCAAAGTATACTAAAGAAATAAAATAATCATAACACTGAAAAAAACTTATGACTAAAAACACAATACTCAATTTAATAATAATAAAAAAAAAAAAAAACATTCAATTAAGACGTCCTGATGATGTCATCACATGACTCCCATTCGGAGCTTCATTCTGAACGGGAAAATGTTTGACAATGAAAATTACAAGCTAGCTAGTATGGAAAGGACAGCTGAGGCAGGAACACGCGTGTGCACCCACGATGAACCGCGGCAGTTTGTGCTGAAACCAAAAAGTTAGACATGTCGGGTGTGAAAGTGTGTCCTTGCATGTAGACACGGACTTTACTGTGTCCCAGCTCGTCAAGGCTCATCCTTCACAGACTTCTTAAAAAACGTGTTGTACAAATTTGAACAACACAAAAATCAATATCACCTTAATTATCACATTGACTAACACACACAATGCAATGAAGAGTTTTAAGAGAAGACTCTTCCTCCTATTGAACCTCAGTAATCCCCCTAATGTTGGATCAGCTCTTATTAAAGATTGTGTTGATCTTCAGATCTTACAATAAATGTTTAATTTATTTAATTAATTTTGTGAACCTTTATAAACTTAGCATCGTTACCCTGACTTTCCTTTTGTTTTTTGTTGATCTGTGGAGGTGAATCTTTTTGTCAAGTCAAACATTGACTTGCTGCTCCACCCAACATTTGACTGATGACATACTTGGCCAGAAAGTTTCAGTGTTGTAGTTTATCTGCCTGATAAAATGTTGTTTACTTTATCTGGTCAACAGAAAAAGTTTGCATTTAGAGCAAAGAAACGCAATAGATTTAAGAAATACATTTCTCCAACATAAACTAATAATCCATGTGCAGCCCAGGAGCAGACAGGGACCTAAATAGCCAAGGCATTGAGGAGTAAAGAGTGTGTCTCTGTCTAGACACTAAACTGCCTCAGTTAATATACAGGCTGGCTGGCAGAGTGTGTGTTTGGGATTGGAGGCGAGACTGCTGGCTTTACTGTTTGTCTCCAGTATCGCTATGCAATAAAAGGGCACAACTTTCTAATACATGGTATGAATCATACAGGTATCATTGTTATTCTCTGATTAATGGCTTCTGTAAAGGAAAAATGCACCATGCATGCACAAGAGCATTTCTGCCCTCATAGTTTTTTGTAGTTTTGTTTTTGTCATATTAAGACCCTACCTGTAAATTGCCTATTTAGCATATAGTGAGCTTTATATCACTACAACAACTATAAATCACAGCAAATTTAAAAGAAGTTTAATGCAATATATTTTCTTCTTGCTGCAGTTTGTCTTACTTATGCTAGTCAGATATGAATGTGTGAGATCTGAAAAGATGAAGTCTGTTTCATTTAAATCTCATCGTAAAATTGTAATAACAATAAATTCATTCATTCAAAGAAACAAAAGCAAAGGAAACAAGGAAAATACATCAGGTTTGGACAAGTAACTCCTAACCTGAAATGAAAATAACATTAGAATATTTTGAGTCATATTCCTGACTGAACAATTTTTAATCTGTCTTCTCTGTACTTAAATTGCTTTGTCCTCCACAGGCCACACTCACACCAGAATGGCGATGAAGAAGCTTGCCATCTTCCTCTTAGTCCTCTCTCTTTGTCTAGAGGGAGGCTCTGCGAAAGAAAAAGGAACTAAGAAGGGAAAAAAGAAAGGGAAGCAGGTTTACTGTCCATCGTAAGTACAAGATAAACACAACATCTGTTATCCTGTGCAGGGTAACATCCTTCATAGACAGTATATTACCAGACAGAAACAATGTGTGTGTGAATGTGAGCCTTTATTTATAGTTTTCACCACGTCAAAAAGTGTAAAATTGGTCAACCATGGGGAAATTGCTCATTATCATGCAACTTATGCCGATGATGAGTGCATATAAACTTCTGACATAAAATGTAATTTCTTTTGCACACCAATAATATCTAGATAGTTCATTCTAGTTCAGTATATTCCAATTAAATATAATTATAATTCAGTTCAACAGAACACAATAAATAGTTTTTTATAAAATTATTGATTGAGAAGAAGTAAAAGTTCTAAATCTTTTATCTGTTGTGTTATTAATCAGCGTATTGAAAATGTTAAAACAGTAATTTAAGAGGCAATATTTCAATAATATGTTATTAATCATTTATATAGACTGAACTTTATTCGTTATTCAGCTGCATTTCAAAGAAAGAAACGGACTTTGTTGAACTCTTAAGAAATGAGCATTCAAAATCCAAACTCAAATAAATCTGATTTAGATCTTATTGATAAATTACAGACATGATGAATAGTCTTAGAACATAATCTCTTACTCCTCTAGCATATCCATTTTTCTTTCCATGGAGAAACTGCTCTGTCTGCTCTCTTAAATGGTAACAATTGGATCCACACTGAGGCTTCCTGAAATGAGGAGTAAACTGTTTGATGTGGTTCATGCGCTGGCATGTGCAAGCTGCATGACATATTCCGTGTTTAATGCTGTGGATGCCACTGTGGATCAAGAAAACCACTTGCTTCTAGCTAAGCTCTGGTGCTTGAGGCTGTCAGAAGAGCTGGTTAAAGCAGAAAGAGGAGAAAGGGAGGTTTTGTGGGTGGGAATTGTGTGTTTCACTTTGATCAAGGAAACAGCATAACATACACACAGTAGATCATTCCTGTGAAAGACTTTGAATCATCCTCAGAGCATAAAGTTTACTTCTTGATATGTAAAGTGCCTTTGAGAGGGGTAAATTCTTTGCCACCCATGAAGAGGCTTTTCTCCTGTCTCCCCTGCCAGATCCTGCTCACGGCTCAGTCTTTGTTTTTGTCACTTAGTTCTGTAATATTTAAGATGTAGGAACAGAAAATGTTTGGCTGGATGTCAATGAAATCCCCTGCCTTTCCAGAGTGCTCACATTTAGGAAACTCTTTGTTTTTACTACCTTTGGTTTAGGGTGGTTGAAAAGAAAAGTCTCAGGTTGGTTAGGATAGAAATAGGAAAAAAAATATGGCATTATGAACTTTAAAGTAAGTGAAAATTGATGTTAGGAGTAATATGTATCAAAGTAGTGGGTGGACTGATTTGGTGGCAAGATTACCATTTGAGTGAGTATTTGTTGTAAAAGCCCTGATTATTCCTATTTGTCCCAGATGATCACAAAACACCATCCATCAATCCAAGGCTAAGTCAGGATCTGGGAACAACTCGGAATAACAGCAGATCACATTTTTAAACGTTGCTTCACGCTAACATTTGTTGGGTGGTCCAAATTTTAAAAGCCAATTTAATCCCAAAGTGGTTCCTCTCTCGGCATGTAGTTTAATCAAAAAGTACACAAAGCGGCTAGAAGTGGGTGCGCTGTCCATTTGTGTTGTTCATCTGCCAGGAATTTGACCTGCTAAACTTCCCTCTCCGCCTTCTTTGTTTGCAGACAGCTGTCGTCTGAGGATCTGGCTCGAGTCCCTGCAAACTCAACCAGTAACATCTTGAACAGGTTACTGATCAGCTACGATCCCAGAATAAGACCCAACTTCAAAGGCAAGTCCTGTCACATCTATAACCAGCCTGCTTTGGATTTTATTTACAATTTAACTGAGTTCCTGGTATGCTTAATACAAACATGCACATTCAGTCTGTTTGTATATAGTTCTGTTGGAAGTATCTTACAAATGTAAAGGAACAGAGAAAGAGTTTCTGTTTTGCAAATGTACAAAGTCCAGCACATACCAGAGATGCTCAATTGGATTGTGTTCTGGGGAGTTTAAGAGCAAATTCAGAACTTTAACTTGTGGTTGTGCTCCCTTAAACAGTGCTTGATCACTGTTTCTTTAAAATTGTGATGCATCATACAAAACCACTTTCCTCTGTTGGTGAAAAACCAAACTGGTCTACTGAGAGGTTCTGGGTATTCTGAGATTATTTTGTCAAAAAACAGCAGTGAATTTCCAGGCACATAGTGCCATTTTATAGCACAATCAATTAGTTTCATTTAGTTGTTATAAAAATTGTGTATATATCAAACATGAATTAAAAGAAATTTGATTTTGTAAGTTGAAATTAGGCCTCTGTCTCTTTAAAAATCTCCTACTCTTTTGGATTTTACATAATAAAGAAAGATAGCTCATTTGGGTCAGCATCAGATCAGATCGCTCCAGATACCAATCAGTTAGCCGTGTTGGTTTCTGATGCTGTTTCGAGCTCCCCAATGTTTCAGTCTTGAATCACTGTTGACAGAAGCTGATCAACACAGATCAGGTACACCTCACCGGAGCTGCAGTTTCAGAGATGCTCTCACCTGATTATTTGGCCATTTCCAAATTCACTCAGATCCTTCTGCCTGCCAATTTATTCTACTTCTAAAATCTACTGCCTGATTTTGGCAATAATTTAAGTTATTTTTTTTGTTTTATTCTCTGAACTACCAGATTTTCCTCATAACTTTATTTTTTTGTCTCAAGAATAAGAAGCACAGCAAAACTGCTCCTAGACGAGCGTAGTGATGCAACTATCTACCAACCACCTCTGCTAATAGGTGTCAAACATTTTATTTTTTTCACTTAACCTGTGAGTGGTCATAATGATGTGCTCAATTAGTTTACATTTATCTTGAGAATTGGACACCTACAAGTTACAATTAGAAAATAGAATAAGTATTCTATTTCTAAATAAATGATCTGTGTGGGAATTGGAGCTAAAGTGAACCCTTTAATCCTAATGTGTGCCAGTTTTAGTTTCAGTTCTTACTCAACAGGAAGCAGCTGTCTCCAGTGTTTATATTCTACTGTTCGTTTCACAGAGACGTTTTACTCTGCTTCACCCTCCCAGACATGGCTATAAGAACTAGAGAGGAGTAACTTTTGACTGTTTCGTCTGTCTGGATGATGGTTTTGCCGTTCTTCAGGTGGATTGCAAATAGTTTCCATTCTCTGGCATTTGGCAGAGCTGAATCTGAGGCTGTTTTTGATATGTAGCGAGCAGACGGTCTCCCTCCCTGAGCGCCTCCAACTAGTCCAGCAGCCAGACATCTGCTCTTGATTTTAGAGCTAAAAGCTCCCTGTCCATTAACAGCCATGTCTTAATCTCCCACATTAATATCTAAGCTGCACATTGGGCATTGCTTTGTCAGCGGCTTTAAAATGGCGAGCTGCTTTTACATATTCTCACATATAGAGGAAACACAGTGTGAGGAAACACAAAATGTGCTTCATGGAATATTAATTAGCTCAATTTCTGTAATAAATGCAAGGCAGACACGAGCCCTGTGCCACCTCCGCTTTATGTGTACTCATTTTAGGGAAAAGTTTGTTCTTTGACGCAATCAGTGAACACCTCAAAATAAATTATTTATTCAAAGCTGGGTGAGGAGTCAGCATTTAGGAGAAGTTTTATTAGTTTATGCAAAACGGTAAAGCAGAGCGAGATGCCAGCCCAAACATTCGCAGGTTTAGTGTCACAAACGGATGGGTGGCTCATGCAAATAGATTTTTATTTGTTTTTTTATTGTTTAGTCTTCCACCTTATCACACAGGAAACTACCTAAAACTCTGAAGCAATACTTTTAGGTGTTTGATAAAAAAAAAGAGATTTATTTCTCAGCATTATAACTGCATTAAAAAAAAGTGCATCTCAATAAATTAGAGGATTTTTTTTTTTTAGTCTGACTCAGGAATTCAAATTAAAATCTGAGAGCTATAATTCAAACATTTATTTCTGCCAATTCACTTAAATTCAGGGCCTTAGAAAGCTGTAATATTTCATAGAACCAATAAAACACTGGGGGAACATTGCTGACCTCACAATTGTCCAACAGAACACAACTGATACCTTCCAAAACGAAGCTGAGGTGGTTGCTGAAGAAGCTGGCTGCTCAAAGGGGACTTTATTCAAGGATATTAATGTAAATTGTCTGGAAGCAAAAATGAAGACAGGAAAAGGTGCTCAAGACATGGAAAACCACTATCTAAAGAGGACTGAAAAGCAAAGTCGTTTGAGGAACTTGGACTGCAGCTGGACTCAGTGCTTTAAGAGTTGAGACACATAACTGAGATATGTGAAGTCACTCCTGAACCAGATGGTCCCATTTGGTCCTGGTATCAACATGTTTATTTATTTTTAGAACTGTGAATCCCAGCAAGTAAAACTTTTATTGAACTTTCCTGCTTGAGCCGAATTGCATCAGGTCAGCGTTTGGTCTTTCAGTGTCACTCAGCATGGCCTGTGTTCGTATACAAGCAAGAGTCCCAGGCCACCTGTGAAGAGTGAAAACGTTATTACTATGTACTAAGTGGTTTCACATCTCTATTGACCACGTCGATGATTGGATACTCAGGGTGTTAGTGAGGAAACATCAGGAGAACCTAAAGTGGGCTAAGGAGAAAAAAATAACAATACAACAAAATTCTCCTTTCAAATGAAAATGCATGTATAAAGGAAAAGTGATGACTCAGGGAGCCGTGTCATCTGCTGTGGTTTATCAAATCCAAACTCAGCTCAGCTGGGAACCTGGAAATTTCAGAGCACTTCATGCTTGATTCTGCTGAAAAGCTTGATAAGCGCTGCTGATTTCATTTTGCAGAAGGGGTTGGTACTGGCCCACACAGCCAAGAATAACAATGCCTGCTTTAGTCATCATGGTTTCACTATGATTGGCCAGCAAAGTGGCCTGAGCTAAACTTCACAGAGAATCTGTGAAGTATTTTTGATCGAACCACAGGCTGGTCGCCTCCCTGCTGTGCTGCACCGATGGACTTATTCATGCAAAAGGAGCCCAGCCCACGTGATTAGAGCATCTACATTAAGTTGTTTAATACACACACTGATCTTGTGTAGAATTCAAATTATTATTATGAATACGTTTGTCAACTAGTCTGTAATAAACATGTTTAAATGATTTAGGAGATAAAGTTTTCAAACTAAATCACTAAACTTTTTGATGACATTCACATTTTGTGAGTTGTAGCTGAACGCATGATGCTTCAATCGTACTTCCAACCAGCAGTGATTAAAGATGACACTAAATGTTAAAATATCTTCTGTCTTTCTAAATCCAGGGATTCCTGTGGAGGACAGAGTGAACATTTTCATCAACAGCTTTGGCTCAATTCAGGAAACAACCATGGTGAGAATCCACTCTGCTTCCACTGTAGTCAGATTATAATGATGATCCATACAAGAAGCTTTAACCCTCTCAGGCTCAAATTACTTGCAAAGACTAGCTAAGTAGCATTTAGCTGTTGCAAATATGCAACATCTGCCTGGACAGGGTTAAAACTACTCTAATGTGGGTGTCTTAGAAAGAACGAAGAAATTAGTGATTTCTGACATGTTTTAGAACCATTAAAATAAATCATGATGGAAAAGGCAAGTTTTCAAGCCTCATTAATCTGATGACTTAAATGCAGATAAAGAAGCGCTGTTTGAATGCTAATCACCAGATTAAACTCAAGGACGTTGCAGGGCCAACTTCTGAACAGTCTGGAACATTTCAGAACACTTTCTGGATTCAAGAAGGCCACCTGATTTGTGTGATTTCTCAAAGCTGATGGGAGAGAAGCAGTGCTTAGTTATGAGGTTATTTCAAGCCTTGCAGCTCAGTGACATACAGTATCCACCATTTGGATTAGCTCTGCTATGTATAATTTAGTGTATATTTGAGACGTTCTTCCTTCGTGTTTCTTAAATAATTTTTGAAATTTCACATGCAGTTTTATAATTTAGTATTATGGAGATGGAGTTTTATAGATGATGACAGGGAGAGAAAACACAGGGAGCCGTGTCATCTGCTGTGGTTTATCAAATCAATTCAATTCAGGAAACAACCATGGTGAGAATCCACTCTGCTTCCACTGTAGTCAGATTATAATGATGATCCATACAAGAAGATCATCATCTTCTTGTATGGATCATACAAGAAGCTGTTCTCACAAAAGAACAGTAGTCTTTTGTGAGATGTGATGTGCAGGTTCTTGCATTCCTGCACATTTTGATAGATTGCATGCAAGCATTCCTGATTGTCATTGATGGCTTCCCCGTCTGAAAAGGAGGATGTAAAACAGGAAGAAAGAACAATAAAGTCAGGAATGGGAGGAGACATGTCCGTGCCTCGTGTTTTATCACGAGGCTCAATGTCATAAAAACAGATTTATTGTCAACTTTTCACTAAGAATAAGGTGTGTGAGCCAAAGTGCCCCAATCTACTAAATTTAGAAATAATTCAATGTTTGGTTGCAAATGTGATTAAAAATTACAAATAAACACATAAACTTAATAGAAGAGAGGGACAGGAAACAAGATATTATATCTTCTACCTGGTCATTTTCAAACAATTTGTTCAAATTGAACAAATTATATTGTTATATTATTCTTGTTATGTTATATATTGTTGTTATATTATTCTTTTCTGTTTTTATTTTTACTGCCTGCTTGACATTAAGAAATCCATACTTTTAAATGTGATTTTTGAAAAGAAACAAAAAAAAAAATAAACATATTTTTTCTATATTGATTTAACCATGTCTCCCATTATAAAACATGTGGCTCGCTGAGATAACCTCTGTCTAATTGTTTATTCTGCATAGCAATGATTTAAGACAACCAACATTCAGGTTAGATCACATTTGGTTCCCAGATTTCTCTGTTTATTAAAACAGAGCAACAAGAATAAATAGTTTATCTTTTTTTATTAAAAAAAATGATTGATCACTTGCTTTCTTGAATTGTGGATCTCTCTTCATTGTAGATTTGCTGAATTTGGCAATAGTGACAGAATCAGACTATAATAAGGAGTCTGAGCAAAGAGGAATAATATAACAGGAAATGTGAAAATATTTTCACAAAGCCATGAAAATCAAAGCAACATAGGAAAGTATCTACCCAAAGCAAGATGAGTGGAAGACGAAAAAAGAAAAGGACAGGTGTTGGAAATAGAAACATGAGCCAAGAAAATGGCAATGAAGGAAAATGAGACTGAAGTCCCAAAGGTCTTCTCTCTCTTCGATGGGTTTCCCAAGACGCTGAAAGTTAAGAAGGTTTGAAACGATTCATGGAGGAGAAAGAAACAACAGCTGGTCACCTCTGCCCCCTCAATTTATCACTCTGTGGGGTGTTTGATCTCTAAAAGCCATTCCTCATCATTTACACCTTCCTCAGGCTAACACGCAGCACACGTCTGCCGTATTTAACACACCAATTTTCACTTGAAGATTGCGTAGACCTCTGTAGAAAATGATGTTGTTGAGACAGAATAAATTGCAGCTATGTTTTTACAGCCTCCCAGCTTGAGTTTTCCTTGCTGATTACAACACACAGCCGTGTTAAATCTCCCTGGAATCGAATGTCGCATTGGCAGCTTGATACCGAGCCAGAAGGAAGATATATTTCCTTGTCTGGTTTTCAGGAAGGATAAGGTGTGGGAATTGGCTTGCATCTCAGACAGGAAAAAAAATCCAACAGAGGCTGTTTGTGGAACTGGACAGACACCGGAGACTGAAATTAGGGTGGTGCACAAATGACAGCCTGCTTTCTAAATGTGGAGCAAATGGACCTCAGGCTTTCATTATAATGTTGAAGCTTAATGGATAGTCAGGCTGCATTTATTAAACTGCAGTATGAAACAAACAAAAAAAAAATATATATATATATATATATATATATATATACTTTTTTGGATATTTGCTAATAAACAAATATTAGCAAATTGGCAGCTATATTGTGACAGAATAAGACAGATTATCTGTGAAAAGATAGTGCTGCCTATCATCCTTGTGTGTGGACTGCTAAATGTACTAATGACAGAGAAACAACTTATTAATGACAGCAGAAAACTGTTCAACTGTTGTCAATAGTGGCCATTTTAACTAGCCTTTGCATTTATGATGAGCTTCGCGATCAGAAAGAAGATGTAGTTTAGCAGAAAGCATGTACACAAGCTTGATTGACAACCAATCCCGCCACCGATTGGTTATTTCTAGTTAGCACTGGGAGACGACATAGTGAAAGTTTCTTCAAATATGTGAAAATGTTTCATAAAAGTGTTTTATTAAAGTTGACTGCATCAACAAGTGATAATGAAATAATATAAACAAAGGTGATATATGTTTATATTTTAAATATATATATATATATATATTTTGCCAATATGTTGGAAGTTCTATCAAATGTTCACATTTCATCCATCTTCACCTTCAAACAGCCTAATTTAGCACAAGACCAGCAGGAATGTGGAGATTTCATCATTAAGCTCCTTAACGGCGTCAGCAGTGTTGGCGTCCTGATAACATCTGACCTTTGGGCTTTGCAGCTTTTTACGTGTTATTATGTTTGACCTTCAGTCGCAAAGACTTGCTTTGCATCTTGGATTGTTTTAGTTCTGCGTCAGAGAAAATAGCAGTTACACAATCAGAAGAAGGCATGTTTTTAAAAACAAGTAAAACAAATAATTAAAATGGTTTTATTTCAAGATTAACAAACCTATGTTAATTGTCACAGTTGAAAAATTGTTCAACACGTTCTTGTTCAAAGCTCCAGAGCAAATTATTCCAGTTTTCTGATGTGGAAAAGTGACTCATTAGCTGAGTTATGTGTCTGAAAATAACCAGCCGGTCTCCAGAAGAGTTTACTGGAAATGCAGCCATGTTTGAACTTGTCTGTTGTCAAACCTGACAGGATTACAGGGTGAACATCTTCCTGCGGCAGCGCTGGAATGACCCCAGGCTCAAGTTACCGCAGGACTTCAAGTCAGACTCGCTCACTGTTGATCCCAAGATGTTCAAATGTCTCTGGAAGCCTGACCTGTTCTTTGCTAATGAGAAGAGTGCAAACTTTCACGATGTGACCCAAGAGAACATCCTCCTCTTCATCTTCCGTAATGGAGATGTCCTCATTAGTATGAGGTACTTTTACTTACTGATTTACTTGTCTATTTGTTTGTTACATTTCCTTTTTAAAATATTTTTCAAAAAATACATTGTAAACCAATGTCTTTTATTTTTCTGTTATAACTGAGTCTGGAGAACACAGAAACCAAAAAACTGTTGTAAAGTGTGGCGTTTGTTTGGTGTTTAAAAGGTTTTCACTGATGTAATCCAGTGAAAGCCTTTTAAACGCCAAAGTTTACACCAGTGTTATACAACCAAGGTTTGCATGTAGATATACAGAGAGGCAGACAAAGCTCATCAAACTAAAATATGCTGCTTTTCATCTCCTTCCAGGTTGTCCATCACCCTTTCTTGCCCATTGGATCTAACCTTGTTTCCAATGGATACACAGAGGTGTAAAATGCAACTTGAAAGCTGTACGTTTAGAAAAATACCTCACAATGTTACTTCTAATAGCCTGCAGGCACTTAGATCACTCAAATAGATATTATACTGATAGAATATTGTTAGTTCTTATAGTTAGACTTTCATTTTATTTTTTAACATGCATATTTATGTTTTGATATAAGTGTATTTTTCTTTAATTTGATTTTTTAGTTGGGTACACAACAGATGACCTGCAGTTCATGTGGCAGACAGGAGACCCTGTCCAAATGGATGCTATCGCTCTTCCACAGTTTGACATCAGACAAGAAGACATTGATTATGGAAACTGCACCAAATTCTATGAAGGAACAGGTGATGGATTTATATTAACAAAGTGTTTTTCATATACAAAGAAAGAGAGAAAGCAGATGCAGTCTGGAAACATATTCATCTGAGCTCTGGAAGTTACAAATGTCAGATTTGTCTGATTTAATAGAATTAAATTCAATAAAAAATGAAACTGGAAGGTGCTGCTACAAAGCTTTTATTACATATTTCATTATTTTTTTGCATGTCTTAGCCTGAGAGAAAACTTTATTTTTCAGGTGAGCATCATATATCTCACATTAATGGTAGAACAAAACTGGAAATGATTATCATGTTCTCAGTATTTTATGTCTCAAAATCTGGAGTTTTTATAGTTTGTAGCCTTAAAGAGTCTCTGAACAAAGAAAACCCTTTATAGCTTAAAATATGTGGAAGCAAAGTCACAATCTAAAGCTAATTTTTGCTACTTGTGTTTTAATATTTTTGTTTAATCAATAAATCAACAAGTTGTGGCTTTGGCTTTGCTGCTAGAAGCATTGCTTTTCTTCTGAATATTGAAAGTGTAGGGTGAGAAAACAACTCAGTTTCAATGAATGAATCCTTGTTTTCTTTAAAGTGATGAACCAGTTTATCAACCATTGCATGTAAAGCTGCATTTTCTTACTGATCTACTGACAAGCCCTGCTCCTGCTGAGTCAGGTTTTTACCTGCTTACCATGGCTACCTATAAAGATTGTCTCTGCGTTCAGCTGGTTTGAGTCTGTGCATGACACTGTCAGGCTTCATCTAAAAGATGGAGAGAATCCTGCATTTTTAAAACTTTACTTCAGCTCAACCATTCTGGACCAACCAGATGAAATCCTTGTGATGTTTGAGTTTTCTTCTTCCTCATGTAGGGTATTACACTTGTGTAGAGGTTATCTTCACCCTACGGAGACAAGTTGGCTTCTACATGATGGGTGTTTATGCCCCCACGCTGCTCATAGTGGTCCTTTCCTGGCTGTCTTTCTGGATCAACCCTGATGCGAGTGCTGCAAGGGTTCCTTTGGGTAAGAGCCATTTGACCAACTATAACAAATTCCACTTCTATTTGCAAGGACATAAACACTGTAAGCACCCTTCCTGCTCTTTTAGCGAGTGTTACTGCAGTCAGAAGGCATTCACAGGTCCACATAGGAGGTATTATGTTTTTAGGCACTTATTTTTGTCAGTGGTGATGATTATTGCTTACAGCTGAGAAAAACTCACATTTTAGTTTGTCAAAATACTAGAATTTTACATAAAACCAATGGAAATGTATTTTAGAGAAGAATTGTAGTATTGTAGCTTAAGCAATCATGGGAAGATGAATAAATCACCTTGTAAAAAGAGTAAAGTTTGTCCTGATTTTAAAGAATCTGGACTTCCTTTGCATTATCTATTCTCATCAAACCTAAACTCAGTATGAAATTAATTTAACTTGTTGAATTTTATTACTAATACAAATCAACTTTTTGATGAGATTTATTCTGAATGGGTTTACTGTTCAAAGGTTCATTAAAGAGGAATGTTATGAAGAGAAACAGACACATAAACAGAAAGCACTCTAAAGGTTTCAGGGATTACTCACACTGTAACCTCCAATCACTCCCATCATGACATCATCAGTCACTTTGACACCGTGAAGGACTTTGTGTGTGAAGCATGGCTCCCTGTCCTGTGTTTGTGGTGAATAATAAATCACTAAATGTGGCTGTAATTGACAGCTGGGGCCCACTCACTGATGCATTTATCTAGAGTAGTCTTAAAAACAAATGATTTCACCTCTGAAGAGCAATGACAATCATTATTTATTTATTTGTCAGGATGGATTTCAATAAATTCATTATTTTTTCTTTGGCTTTTGACACAGCTTGAGGTGTTGGCTTTAACGTTTTGTTGGTTTTATGTCTGCTTTATTTGTTTTAGTGTACAACAGTGTTGTTTTAAAGCGCTTCTCAAATTAAATTGTATTGTATTATAAACGACAGAGAGGATTTTCTATGCTTTTTACTAAATTAAATTAAGAAATATTTTAATACCAAATCAAAAAAGAAAGAGTAGTGACCAGGATGATGGAGAATATACAAAGGTAAAAGTAATTAGATTTCAATTTAATTGTTTGGGATTTTGTTGGTCATTTGCCTGTTTTTAAAATGAAATCAATAATTTTTGAGTTTTGATTGATCAGCTCTTCAAACTGTTTGTATAAATCAGAAACACCCTGGCGCCAAAAGTCTTGTCTCCTGCTAAAAGACAGTGCAGGCATAGGGGATATCAATGTCTGCTGAGCAGATGGATATTAGCTCTAAGTGCAGAAGACGATAGATTTCTACATGTATCAATAATCTCATTCAGACAGTGACATGCAATAACTAAATGACGCCTTTGGATCAGTTCATCAGGCAGAACTTGGATCAAATAGATAACTTGGCTTTGCTAGTGTGATAAATTCTCTAAATTTGTCATAATTTTTTTTCTTATCCTGAAAAGATCTTGAGGGAAGCCAAGTGTGTGGGCCTCCTCTACGTGATTCGACTAATAAGACCAAAACACATACTGAAAGCAACTTTTACACAGAGAAAATCTTTACATACACATTCTGTTCTTGAATTTAAGAAGAAAATCAATTGGTGACCTTTTTCAGATTTTCATCGAAACCATCTGCTGAAGTCTTCTTAGAAAGGTGTGGAATATTTTGTGCACATAGGAGAGCAAATGAGTTTCATTTTGCTCTTGCATTACACTGTCCTATTTAACCATTTTCCAGCAAACATTTTACTGCATTTATTGATACTTTACACCAGTAAGGAGAGCACCCATCAGACAGATTCCTCCTTTTGTTTTTGATAGAGAAAATGCTGCTGAGAGAAAGGATCTGTTAGAACAAGAATGGTGGAGATGCTCTAACTGCTGGAATCAACATGGAGTGATATGTAATCATGTAGGCACAGATCAAAGATAAAAAAGATAAATCTTAAAATACTGAGGGGAACAAGACTGAAAAACAGCTGTGATTACTCCAGAGCAAACGATCCTGATTATTTTTGCTTTATAAACAGTGTAAGTAAACAGAGGCTCATCAAAAATGTGTATTTAACAAGAGTTTTCAGTTCAGGTTTGAATTCTCTCTGCAGTTTGGGTTTCAAATCCCCCCAAAATGACAACAGTAGAAATATAATCACTGCAGCTATGAAAAAAAACAAAAAACAAAACATGCTTGCATTTTCACAGATTAAATGTAACTAACAGGATTTTTAATGTTTAATTTGATATTTATGTCAATGTTATTTTTTTTATCAAGTCGAAAAAGATGAAAAGCAAGAAATTAAAACGTCATAAACTTCATTTAAGTACAAAAGAGAAATACATTTTGAAAGATGAACGTTTAAAATAATTTAGGAATTTAAAGATGAACAATTATAAGAAAATAATTTATTTATTTGTTTTTTTGAGACACAGAAAGTGTTTCCAGGAATTTTCTGCTTGTAAAGAAAGCAGCCCTGAGGAGTTTGAGATATGCTTCCTCACACATGGTCCTATCTTTCCAAAATACATCCACTATAGCCTGGCGTTAGCTATAAAAACACATATTTACTCCTCTTCCACACCATAGCCCACATATAATAAGTCCGTATCACCCTCATATGTCAGTATCAGCCTCATATATTATTGCCTATAACCCTTGTGTGTGTGCACAGGATAAGACAATCCATTGTTATCCCACCTCATTCATCCACTGCCTCCTTTATGCTCCATCTTCATTCCAGCTGTTTATCACCACTTTCATTCCATCATCACTTCAATCCTTCCTGGAGGCCCGCTCTGACTTCTCTGTGAATAAGATGGCTCCAGGTCAGTCAGCGCCCTGGTGTGTTTGTGGGTTTGCATTCCTGCTCATTTTTGTATCAAATTATATTCACAAAGAGGAAAGACTTACTGGATACTGTATAAATATGTATAACAGTCTGTACTGCAGCAAGATAAGAACACACTGTAAAAATGTCAAAAAATCCAAACGTTTGGTGAAGTTTTGGGCCATTATTCATAATTTTATACCCACTAAGGCAGCATGTTTTTCATGTATGATGGTATGACAAAAAATATCTGTCATTAGATCCTAATAATATGTTAAAATTAACGATTGTCATGGAGATTTGGTGACATCACGGTGCCTCTTGTTGCTGCAGTTCTCCAACAGTGAAACCAGCCATAATTTTGTTAAACACTGTTATCTTTTCCTACATTGAATTAATTTAAATAAGTTAAACATTGGATTTCTTTGCATTTTTGTGTGTGGAATTATGTTGGGTCAATTAACAATGAATTTGTATTGAGACATTTTTTTCAGCATCTTTTCTGGGGGTGTCCACATCTCTCTATCAGACCTTTGTTGCAAGCTTCTCTTTTTTTGAATAATCTTAATTAAGTCTGATAGCAGCATCTATTGTATTGTATGTATTAAAAGTTATTGTAAAGGCAGTAAAAAGTGAGATGTTAAGAAGAGAAGTCTGCAGCGCCTTTCATTGACGTTGGAATAACCTCTTAACGTTGGTCGTAATTGCTGTTTCCACTTCGGCCCAGAAGATTTGCTGCTATTTAGGGGAGATCACTAACCTGTAATGATGTAAGCTTTGAGAGATGAAAACTCTTTGGAATTACGTACTCATTAGAGGCTGTCTGTGCTTTTAACAAAAAGAAAAATAAATGGGCTTTGAATGCTGATTTCAGTGACGTTCTCAGAAACCTTTTGTACCCGTTTAATTACAGCTTTTTGTGCTGACAGGAAGGATGCTTTTAATTTTCCTTCACTGATAACTGACTACAAATGGTTGCTGAGTGGAAACAAACATCATGTTTCTATAATTCTAGATGTCCTATTTTATGTTATAACAATGGGAGCATTGTTTTTAAATACTTTGCATCTGAAGAGCCAGTCGTTCCTGTAATCTTTGAAAGATGTCTTGAGTAATTGTTATCTAGATTTTTGGAAGTGTTTCTATAGATTTTTTATTTTTTTTATATTATCTGTCAAATGGTTGTATCACAGCTTATTATAAAGCTTGTGCAAAAACATAAAATAAAAGGGCAAGTCAAGGACAGAAGGAGTATGAGACATAAAAGACGATCAGTTATGAACAGTTATCTGACTGTAATGTCTTTTAGAAACACAGAAAGTACAGCAAATTTATGACAAAGTACCTGAGAAATGCATTATCCATCATCTGATTCACTCATCATGTGGTTTTGTGAAAAACTACTTTATCCCTTACAGATTTCCTCTGGTTTTTGCTTTTTTATAGTGAGAAATTTAAAAATGTCCATATCAGATGATAACTGCAGTTGGCATTAAATGAAAAGCTACTATCTACTATCTAAGTGGCAGGTGAAGCCACCTTTAGTATTTGGAATATTGACATCTTTTACGTCATTGCAGAGGAATGTTGACTCTGATCTTTGCAGAATTGTTTTAAATCAGCCACACTGGAATGTTTTTAACCCACAATGCTCTACGTGATGCAGGAGCCTCTTAGATGTAAGTCTGCAGTTTGACCGAATCACTAAATCTGTTTCTTTTGCAATCCAAAGATGGACATGCTTGTATGCTTTAGATCAGGAGTGTCAAACTCCAGTCCTCGAGGGCCGGTGTCCTGCAACTTTTAGATGTGCCTCTGCTGCACCAGAGCTGAATACAATAATTAGGTCATTAGCAAGGCTCTGGAGAACTGATCTACACAAGCAGGAGGTAATTAAGCCATTTCATTCCAGTGTTTTTTACCTCAGACACATCTAAAAACTGCAGGACATCGGCCCTTGAGGACTGGACTTTGTCACCCTTGCTTTAGATTATTGTATTTGAAGTGCTCTGATTGTAAAAACCTTTTTATGCCGGTCATCAGTGGGGTGAAAGTCATAGCATCCTGCTGCGTCACGGCAGCGTCTGTGTCCTCTGTCACATCGCTGTTGAAACAACAATTTTCCTTTTTCAGTGTATGAGTTGTGCTGGCAGAATTTTACAACATATTGCCAGTCATTGTTTGTCCACATTGATATGAATAAATATTTGTTCATATTGTTGCTATCCACCACATCATAATAATGAAACTGTTACCTTCCTTCTAAAGAGAGTTATACTTCATTTTCATGCATATTTCTGACTGACAAGGTCATCTGTGCTCCTCGGTATGCAGGGATCCTCTCGGTGCTCTCCCTGTCTTCTGAATGCACCTCGTTAGCTTCAGAGCTGCCCAAAGTGTCCTACGTCAAGGCTATCGACATCTGGCTCATTGCATGCCTGCTGTTTGGCTTCGCCTCGCTGGTGGAGTACGCTGTGGTTCAAGTGATGCTCAACAGTCCAAAGCACATTGAGGCGGAGAAGGCCAAGATAGCTTCTAAGGAGAAGGCTGCAGGGAAGAGTCCTGGTGTGAGAAACAACACCATCAACGGGACCGGAGGGACGCCTCTGCACGTCAGCACCTTACACGTTAGTAACCGGCTTAAGAGAGTGTGTTAGGAAAGCATTAAGATATAACCACAAACAATTGTCATTTTTAAACTCTACAATTAAGTTTTTTTTAATTATTAATCTCACAATTCTGGTTCAATTTGAAAGTCTGAAGTTGCATTTCTTTGAGTTGTGAGATCTTGAAGAGATTGAAAATTACATTATGTAAATTTTTGCAGAAATCAGTCTTCCAAATTAATTATGCAAACTACAAAACCTGAAATACCCTAACCTCTGCTAGAGCTCTTCCATTTTCATATAAAATTTCATGCAGACGCCCACACTGCACACAGCATACAGTCAAATGAAGCCCAGACTGCAGATCCGACACCTTCAAGCTGTTTTGTTGTAAAGATCAAATCTAAATGCAAATCAGGAAAATATATTCATTAAAATGTTTTTGTCCCAATGCAAATAACTGTGGGGTCAGAGTTCAGCTTGAACATTTGTAGCAGTTTCCTTAGAAATCCACAACATTTATATACAAAATAAATTTATATTGGTGTCTGAGTCGCAGCGTTACTCCTTTGAGGTTTAAGTCTGTTTTCACATGAAAAGAAAATTAAAATAACAAAGCTTTAATTATTTTAATGACTTCAGTTTGATTAGATCCTGTCCACCCTGCAGGCTGTCAGCAAAGCAAAAAGGATTTCTTTCAGGTGACCTCAACTTAAAAAAACAGCGGGTAAAATAGCCGGGGTTAAAAGACCCCTCTGATTAGGTAACGTTATGGAGAACAAAGAAACTCTCTTTGTTGACTCCAAACATTCGTGTTCTCTTAAAATAGCAGCAGGTGATTTATCAGTGGGAGATTTGTCCAAGTTTCCTGATCAAGCGGCTCATTTACTGCACTCTCAAAGTGTTTGCAGTCGAGTCAAAACATTTTTAAAAGCCTCAGATAAATGATTCCTTCAGTTTCTGGAACAATGCTGTATAGATGTTGGATAATAGCTGGAGTAGAAACACAGACCATTGTGTAGTTGGCAAGTGCAAGCCCAACATTTAGTTATACCAATTGATTCACGTATGTATTAGAACAAAATGCATAATTGTACCTATTGCAAGCAGACTTTTCAGCATCACATGCTAAGGTAACCAAATAAATCAAGAGCTTGTTTAGGACTCAATGCATGAAGTCACTAACCACTGACTTGTTTTTTGCCATTGAAGTCACAAAAACCTTCTGCCTCCTATCTCCTGCCATTTCTTGTATCTTTTGTTCTTATAGTAATGTGATGTGGAAATGGTTAAAACAGCTTTCTCCATCAATTTACTGGTGATGGAACGTCAGAGTTTGGCTTGTAATTCTGCAATAGTGAGTTGTCCAGATGGTTCTTTTTCACCAGTTGTTTGTTCCAGAGAAAAAATGAAAAAGTGCAACATCTCTGTATCATACAGAACAAGATGTTTTTCTTTTTTCTCTTGCTGCCTCTCAGGTGGGTGAGACCCGCTGTAAAAAGGTGTGCACATCCAAATCAGACCTGCGGACCAACGACTTCAGCATCGTGGGATCTCTCCCACGGGACTTTGAGCTGTCAAACTTTGACTGCTACGGGAAACCGATTGACACCGGCTCTGCTCTCGGTAAATCCCAGGCAAAGAACAAGAAACCGCCTCCTCCAAAACCAGTCATCCCCTCCGCTGCCAAAAGAGTTGACCTGTATTCCAGAGCACTGTTCCCTTTTTCTTTCCTCTTCTTCAATGTGATTTACTGGTCCATATACTTGTGATTATCTGGAATTATTATCTCAATGCTAGAGTTTCTTGAGTTCTTTATTTGCCTGGCTTATATAAAAAAAGGCTTGCATTTCCAATTGAGAAGTGAGAAATGGGAACCTTGCCCCCACAGAACTGGTGCTGTGAAGGAAGTAAAAATAAAATTTGAATGCAATTTCTACATAAGATATAATTTATTTATTTATTTATTTTAGAATAAAGATAAAGAGTATTATAATTAAACACTTTATGCATTGAGTTATACTCAAAGGATTTGCTGAAATAAAATAGTCTTGGTGAAACAGAGAATTTTTAAGAGGGGAACTGAAAATTCAAAGATGATTTGATAATCACTGTTTTATTTCAGTTTTATTTCGTTTGCTTTGTTTGTGTAAAGTTTATTGGTCAAAGCATTTTATTTTAGCTCCTTTGCAAAGTGTTACATTGTAATTACCTCGCATGTTATAAATATTGCATGTATATGAAAAGAAAATCTAAAAAGTTATATCAGATATTTATGAAACGTTAATATTCCAATGATTTACTTTTGAGAAAATTTGTGGATATGTGAAGCACTCTTTCCTGCCAGATGGTCATGTGACACTGCCACTCCTACAACTAATACAACACTTGACTCATCCAACCTGTAGCCTGTGTAAACGGGTCACTTCTGAGCTGTGACCATATATTTGTGAAATTTTCAAGCAAAGAAAATAAATGATCAAATGACTTTCCACCATTTGATGTTATTAAAAATAATGACAAGAAACTTGGCTGTGGGTCTCAATATTTATTAATCAATCAATAATTTTAGAACACCTTACTTTGGCACAAGTAAGTGAAGACAATGTACTTTACATCAGAAAAACACACATGCTGTGACCAAACAATGCCAAGAACACAAGTATCCATTAACTCCTGCTGCAGTGTTTTAATACATATTGAAGTATATTTAGTGTTTGAGGCATTGAAATAGGCAGATATCAGTGTTTTAGAGGGCGGCTCTAAAACAGGCTTCAGCTAATGGGAGGTTGTATTCTCTAACTGTTGTGAATATGGCCAAAGTATGCAAATACAAAGAAAAAACAGTCAAATCTACATCAAATTTCAATAACTAATTTTAATGGTACAGTAATAGTGCCAAATAACATAAAATGATAATTCAAATAAAATTATCGACACAATGAACTGGAGTTAAAAACTAAGACTAAATTATGTCAATCAGTGAAAGTCAAGATAGAAGCATAACCAAGTTAACAGGGCCTGGAACGCTGTTCTCCAGATAAGGGGAATAATAATTTGTTATTTCTCTCTTCATGTTCTGCATGTTTGTCTATTTATATCTTCCAGTACAACAGCTGCTTGACCTCTGATAATTTGCCAAATCATTTATTTTGCAAATCTGCTTAGGAAATCATTCCTGATAATCAACGTGAAGCTTCTCATATAAAATTCATTTCTAGCTTAATGAGCCAAAATAGATGCTGACTTTCTGTTCAAGCACAAAGTGTTTATTTATTAATATTGAAGTCATTTAGTCAAAGTCTGATCAGTGATGAAAATAAAATAAAAAGCTCAATTCTGTAATCTGTTTTTTTTTATGGATTGGTTTGAAATGAGAAAACAAGACTTGTTTCTCTCTCTGCAGCTGCCATGGTTACAGACAGCGAGGAGAATTTTTGTCTGACTGGCCAATAATCTCACAGGGACACAAAACAGAAGTTACATGAAGGCGAGAATCATTTTGGAGAAAAGGCGTCTACAGTCATGCGTCATACTGACAAGTGAATGCCATGCAGATCTGCAAAACTCAAATCAATTGGTGGTTATTTGTGACTGCTCTAAACACTTGAGGTCTGACTCAGACGCTAACAGCAAAGAATTTGCATTGCAGTGCCCCCCTATGGCGACATCATGCAGTGATGAGGAGAGAAAATGTTCTCCTGGCAATTTAGCAGATGAGACGCCTGCTTAACAAGTTCTTCTATACGGAACTTAGAACTTGAAGGCAAATCTAATTTTAAGGTTTTCTTGTTGTGATTCTGAATATTAATGAAAGTTATTAAAAAACATCAAGCTGTCTAAGGAGGTGAGTAAGTTGTTATCTTTAATTTACCCTCTCAGATTTTAAAAGGACAAACTATTTTATGTTATGAATATTTAGTGATTAGTAATGGTGAGCAGCAATATGATCACATTTGCAGCATCAGAATTAAAAATCAGTTACAGGTATGACTCATGACTGTGTGTGTGTGTGTGTGTGTGTGTGTGTGTGTGTGTGTGTGTGCGTGTGCTCCACCCACACACCACAGCACCCTGCTAGTGCCACAGTGCAGTAACCTATATCAAACAGGTTCTTTCTAATCCAACAAGGCCTCTCACCAGGCTCCCACCCAACTCACAGAGAAAAGCATCGTGACAGTCAAGGCGATGATTAGTGAAGGCGCCGTGGGGGAGGACACGCTACTGGGCTCACTGCAGGCCCATTTATGGTGGACAAGGTCCCCACATCAATGTTGTGAATAATTTCCCTGACTTATTTTCCTCTGAATATAAAATGTGGATTTGAATGCAAAAATTTTAAACTTTACAACAACCTGTAATGCTTCTGGGAAATTATGGCTCTTGCAGTTTTATTCACAATTTGTTGGAAAATAGTGATTTTCTTTAATCCGCTTGATTAAAGGAAATTTTATTTTGAGATCTTGTGAGCACATGAGGATCTTTGCAAATGTTTCAAATGAAACAAAATTACTCAAATCATAAGAATTTCATGATTATCCAGAAGCTCCTGAAAGTATTCATTTCTCTCAAACTTCTTCACATTTGATCACCTCAAATGACATAAAGTCACCCTAATTGTGACTTTATGTGAAACAACACAAAGTGCATAACTGAAATGAAAACACAGTAATAAATGGCATTCAACGTTTTTACAAATGACATTAAAATCTGAAAAGTGACACGTGTATTTGTATTGATTTATGATAGTGGAAATAGCAGTGAAACACTTTGATCAGCTGATGCCACTTTTATATGTGCTACAAAAATAAATTTGACACTGAGTTGTCAGTGTAAGTTTTTAGGTTCAGCTGACAGGAGACAAACATTTTTTTTTTTTAATTAGCTACAAAATATTATAGAAGAGGTTAGAGAGAATCAGGAAAGCATCCAAATAACCGCAAGCTGATAGAGACAGAAACACAGAAAACTTTATTTAAGGGGTATCAGATTGAAAGGGGACTGGATATGCATGTTTGCACAAAACACTTTTTATATTATTGTTTGTAAAAAAAAATCATGTGAAAACTATGTTTCCCGTTCTTGACACTCCACATCAGTGTCAAGAAGATACTGTGTTGCTTGTGTTGCTCTGTCAAATAAAATACACTAAAGTTTGTAGTAAAATGACAAGATGTGGAAACATTTATGTTACCTTTATCAAGCTGTTTACTGCTAAAATTATTTAATAATCATGGCTTTACTTTTGCAGTGAATGAAGAATTGTGCCTCAAATTCTAAGACAATCACTATGTGACAACATCACTCTGGCTAACAATGGAAAACATCTTCTGGTTGCCTGTTACTTAACCCACTACTCCTGTGTCATTGTATTCATCAAGGCTCTCTGTATCCTGCTACTTGTGGGACAATCTTCCATTTTCAGGGGATAAGTGCCCCAAAAGCATTACAATTGGGAAAGTAGTGAAGCAGTTTTGCAGGTTTTGTCTCACTAGAAATAATATTTGGAGATTCACATCTTTTCCGTTGCAGTACTAATCCTATCAAGAACATGGCAAGCTTGTATTTCAGACACAGAACAAAATGAATTTCTAAATCAGACAAAAGACATTTTTTAAGGCTGAGGTATCAAATCTATAAATGTAGAAGCACGTTTTGCCAATAGCGAAACCACATTCCTGCTGAAAAACCCAGAACTGAAACCATGAGGTCATGACCTCCACCAACACACCAGAAAACCACAAAGCTGCTGTCAGTTCACAAAAAGCTACTGTCAGTGTTTTATGTTTATTTATAAACATAAAAAATTCAAGAACTCACCTTCAAGAAGGCAGACGAACATGTATAACCCACAACTTAGCAACAAAGTAAAAAATTTAAACATTGACTGCAACTCAGTAGGCGCTCAGTTTTTGTTGTTTTTACTTTAGAGGACTTAAATATTTTGTTACTCACCAGAAAGGACACTACCTTAGTGAAGAATTTCTTTGTTTGAATTTAATGTTTTGAAAATGACTTGAATGAACTCTGGTGAAAAAATCAATTAGAATAAATTAAACCTATTGAGAATAACATTGATCAGCTGCAGGAATAAAAACGTGATAAAAAGGAAACACATTATCACTTGTCACATCCCTTATTCTTGTGTTTGCCAATCAAAAAACAGGGTTTGCGACTCACATGTGACTCACTGCAATGTGTCTTGGTGGATTTGTTCTTTGTTCTTCTGGAAGGTGAACGTCATCCAGTCTGGAGACTTTTACATCCTCTAACAAGTTATTCATGCTGTCTCATATTTTTCATCCATAATTCCATCAACTTTGACCAGCTTTGTAGGTTGCAGTTGTCATAGTTTTTACATTTTCTGAAAACTGACGAGACACGTTTTACAAAAATACTCAAAAGTTGGGATATTATTTTATTCTTGTTCCAAGTTTTTCAACGACTTCATCCCTGACCTGTCTCCTTTATTTCTTGGTCTTTGTTTTTTTTTCCCTTAATGTTTTGTAACAAACATTTGATATCTCTATAACTGCATTTACACCAACATGATTCATGCAATAAAAGATCTCTTTAATAAATTACTTTTCCAGTTGGTTGCACTAGGCTTTGTTTAGGAGCATCAGGGTAAACATGGCCACAAACAAATATATCAATGTTCCTTTATATTGTGTCTACAGGCTACATTGTGTTGGTCTATCTAATAAAATTCCAATAAAACATATTTAAGTTTGGGGGTGCAATGCAACAAACGTGAAAAGCAAAGACTATGAAACTTTATTTAGCATTTTGCAGTGATCTATTTTTTCCAGATTCTAAAAATGACTTTTATTACATGTTTTGAATCAATATTCATGAGAACTGGCTACAACAGAACTGTTTTGTTGCACACTAAGCTCATCCTTTCCTCAGGTTTTCTGTGATCCACTCAGCAGGAGCCTCACTTTTCTGTGCAATGTGCTGTCCAAGGTGCTGAAATCTGACAAAAACGTTCCTGTTTGGCCGTTAATCTCCACCAGCTGCATTAGTTTATTTCCAGATCAAATACAGACAATGATTAATGTGAATCTATTGGTTCACACTGAGAGTTAAATTATATAAAACCACAAGACAAAATTGCCACTCATTTTCTAATGGCTGGCAGGCACACTTCACCTCACCTAGAAGAAGTATAATGGCACTTTGAGGCAGACATATAAATTTGAAAAGGATTTGTATGCAAAAGGTGGAGATAGATTAAAGTTAAAGAGGTGATTAATTTGATAGCTGTCCCTGTAGGACATGTGACCATCCACTTGTTGCACAGAGCTGCTTGCACTATTTTTCTCACTCCCTGCGCCCCTCCCATCCTGTCACTGTTTCAGACACGCCCCTGATCCCGCCCAGTTTTCCCCTGAGCTCACCTGATTGGTCCGCTATTCAAGCTAGGTCTTTTCGGTTTGTGACGTCTGCAGTTTCCCTCTAGAAATAGAATTTAATGGATGTAAGGTAGTGTTGCTACACACTCGTGCACTAGTAGGTGACGGTGTGTACATAAAAGTTGCTTGCGATTTTCCATAATAGCAAAGAAGAAGAATTTCCCTCCAAACTCAAACCGGGTGTTAGCGAACACCATCCCTAACTAACAGGAACTATTACAATAAAAACCAAGGCTATTCAAACCCTGGCCTGTTCCTAATCGCATCGCTGTCATGCTGAGAAGCTAAAATCGCAAAACAAACAAAGACAAAACAACAACAAAAAAGCGTCTACTTATTTGGCAAGCCGGAAGTCTTGAAAGCGTGTGACGTCACCGAGTTAAAAGGTACTCGTAAGTCATAAATTCAATATAATTTGTGCTCCATTATGAAACTAAACGGTTTTATTTGTACAGTGCAGATGAAAAGAATGGAGTGAAGAATGAGCTCCTTGTGTGATCATTTACAAAAAGTGCAAAAGTAAAATAACTTTGTTGTGAGGAGGGGTCCTTATCCTGTTAAAAAAAAAATAACCTTGTTAACTGTTTTCTGCTGTTTTCTCCTTGTATGAAAGGAGTCTGGATTTTCAAAACAGAAGTAATGTCAGAATAGATACAAAAAGCAGTTTTGAAACATTGTTTTAACTTGAGACAGTAAAAAGCTGTCCAATCCAAACTGCTTCCATGAGAAGAAGGATTTGCTGTTACTTGTTAAAACAATTTTTGGACGGGTGAATTCAGCTTAACTAGCCCAGTTCAGGCCTGGTTACTGTCAGACCAGAAGCATGAAGAAATCACTTTAATATGACCTTCTGTAACTGACAGCATAAACCGAGCATAAAAAGGACATTTGGCCATTGGTTTGTCTTAAGCTCTAGTGAACTTGGCTTATGGAGAAAGACAGCAAGTCTAGTATTCTCTGACTAAAACAATTAAGGTTTTGAGGTGACAAAGTCAAAAGTTAGATTAAAATCTTTTTGAGATGCTCGAGCTTTTCTGTTGGCTCCTATTTGAAAAACCTCCAACGTGGCTGAATTAAGATGATTCTGCAAAAAACAGTGGGTCAAAATTTCTCCACAGCAATTGTCAGTTGTAAATACTTGTTGCCTCAAACTGTGGCTCAAACAGTTATCAGGGCGTTTAATTCCATAATAAGGCTTCAGTGTAGGTTAACACTGAACAGCCACTTTGACAAGAGCAGTCTGCACTGTGTTGAGCACATAACTGGACTGAAAACTGTCAGTGTTCAAGGCGTGAGAAGAAATGAAGACTGGAAGAACCACAATGCTGTTGTGTTTGGGTTCAGCGCAGCATTCAACACTGTTGACAAAGGATTATGACTGGAGCGACTGGGTTGAACTTTCTGGTACAGAAGTAGACTGGTTTGAGTCCAGAGCAGGTCTGTCATGATGCTGGAGTGTTTGGATTTTAGTTTTCTTCTGTTTGCATTTTGTCAGTTTTCTTATTTATTTACTTTCTTAGGTCTTGCCATATTCCTCTTATTTTCTGAATTCAGTATTGCTCAAAAGTCCTGGCACACATAGTTGATTATTATTGCTGTAAAGGTCTTGCTGTATCTTTGTTCCTTTTTTAGTGGGACTCTACATTTTTTCTGTGTTTTTCTGCATTTGAATTTAGTTTACATAGATTAGTGCTTGCCTTCTCTTGGTTTACAGTTTGTCAGCTTCTCTCATGCTTATTGTTCATGTTTGTGCTTGTTTCCACACTATAACCACAAACATTCACTGACACAACTTGTTTGTGTCAGTGGGTAACTTTTGGCATCGACAATAAATAAATAAATAAATCACATGTTGCTCTATTCCTGGGATTCTTCTTATTTAATATTGACATGCTTCTGCTAGATAAGATAATAGCAAATAACATAAGTTACTGGGCTGCCCAATGGCACAGAAAGAAGGTCCTGGGTTTGAATCTCAGCCTGGGGTCTTTCTGGAGTTTGCATGTTCTCCCTGTGCATGCAGCTTTCTCCCACAGTCCAAAAACATGGCTGTCAGGTTGATTGGTCTCCATAAATTCTCCTTAGGTGTGAGTGTGTGCATGCATGGATGTTTTGTCCTGTCTGTCTGTGTTGCCCTGCAATCCACTGATGATGCACAGGGTGTACCTCATCCGTTAACCGCTTGAAGATCAAGGATGATTTTTGCAAATTAAGCATGGTTTGCTAAATTTGCATGGATCTGCCATAACTGTTTTTAGTCATAATATAAACAAAAAAACTGAAGCTATTATTTTTGGGCTAAATGAGAAACCATCAAACTGGTAATCAGGCCTGAAATGTGGGTATAATGATGGACTCAGACCTGCACTTTCAGACACAAATAAGCAGTTACAAAGTCAATCTTCTACCATTTGATTCTGGCTCCCAGTAGCCCAGAGAATAGATTTTGAAATACTTTTGTCAGTCTACAAATCACTGATTGGCTGAACACCAAAATACAGTGGTGTTTAGAGTGAAAACAAAATCAGCTGTGATTTTGTTTTCACACCTCTGTATGTTGCAAATAACTGCAATTAAATCCCCTGGGAAATCGCGTCAGAACAGGCAATTGTGATAAAGGCTTTCTAAAAACAACTGCTAGACTTGAAAATTAAACATTTCTTCATATTTTTAAGAGTGTTTAATGTGAAATCTAAGGGGCCGGTTATCTGAGGAAAACAAGTACATCTGATTTAAGTTGTCTTAATGACGCTATGGTGTCATGACTGAACAATGTTCACCAGTCTCCTGTGTTCATGTTCACTGAAACCCAGAGGCGAAACAAAAACTCAACTGCTGGAGCAGAAGCTTCCGTTCCCATTTTTTTCAGAGGTTGTCGTGTGGTTTGGTCTCCATGTGGCTGACTTTCGGATCTGTTCGTGTCTGTCCGCCTTTTCATTAACATTCCTCAGTTGTGGGTGTGATACCGAGAAGATCTCCGGCGCGCGGCGCGGCGTGGCGTGGCGCGGCGCGGAGCGGAGACGCGCACCGGCTCCGTGCGTTCAGAAGAGGCGCAGCTGCCGGTGGAAGGGGAGTGACGAGGAGGAGCGGAAAAAGAGAGCAGAACCTCACCGCCGGCCACCATTCCTGTACTGGTGTCATTTACCTGCCACAAACCCAGAAGATTTTCTCTTATCTTCTCTCCGAGGCGAAAGGTTATTAATATGTGTTGGATCTAGCGCCTTCAAAGAGAAACAAGGGAAGACCAGATTCATCTGGTGGATGTGGACACCTGAACTGTAGACATGGGGAATATAGTGAATTTATTTTTTTCTATTCTTCTGGTTTTATGGGTCTGCGCGTTTGGGGGCTCGCCCAGTGTTCAGATCGGTGAGTAGCTAACTCACTCAGACAAAAGAAAATTGCGTTAAATAATTTCGCATGAAATAAAATGATGAATTCTGGTTGCTGGATCTGTCATGTTGTTTTTGTGGAAGTGTAACAGGCTTTTTGTCATGATTTCAGGGGGACTTTTTCCAAGGGGCGCAGATCAAGAGTACAGCGCGTTTCGGATAGGAATGGTTCAGTTTGGAACCTCGGAATTCAGACTGACTCCCCATATTGACAATCTGGAGGTTGCCAACAGTTTCGCTGTGACCAACTGTTGTAAGTAAAAAAATATCTTTAGTCTTATTATTTCTTACTAAGATCTAGTGGGAGTATGAGACCCACAAAACAATCATGATCATTCTTCAGAATTATTTAGAATGCAGCTATTCTAAATAATTTCTGCTATTTTAATAAAAGGTTGTCAATGCTTTCTTATCTATATTCTGTCTGCAAACACGCTGAGACTGTGAGCTGGGAGTTGAGGATGAACAGGCTGAGTAGCCAGGGAAAGTTGGTTTCCACAGTAACCGTCACATCAATACCTTTTTCAGTCTTTCACATTCATTAGAAGAGGCTACACAATAAAAATGTCAATCATAAAAGTTCTGCTATTCAGCTTTATTTAAAAGCTCTTTGCAGTCTTTTGAAAGACTGATGGATATTTTCTAGGTACATTTGATCCTCTATTCATCTTTTCATTTTGCATCATTAAAAACAGGACACCTTACATTTTTTACACCATCTCCCAACTTTAACAATGTCTTCTATCATGTTTCAGGGCAGGAATCTGAGGTAAAGAGTGACTGAGGCAGATTTTGTTCTCCCTCATGTTTTTTCTCAGCTCAGGAGGAGCGCTGTTCACCCAGGAGAACAGATCAGACATTCTCGGTGCCTGTGACACGCTCTAACACGGCTAATGAGGGCTGATATGAAGCGATTAATTAAAAACCGATGCACTGAAGGATTTCCTATGCATTGCTTAATTGCCAGAACGGTTTTTAGTCTGATTTGAATCCCTACTTTTGGTCCAAACGAAGGTTTCTAGTCACAATTTAAGCTGTGACTTCACTTTAAGACATTTTCTCCTCAGAGTTTCTGTAAGAATCGGCTCTGTTCTCCTGACAGATTTATTTTAAACTGCTGCAGCAAATAGGTCGCTATATTTCGTACATTCATTAGGTGGTTGCCAAGCGACTGCTGCTCTGAACAGTCCCTTAAACATAAATCAAACGCTTCTCATTGGTGCGAGCACTGGTCCAATCGATCCCATTACCATATAAAACCTTCCTGCTTGAAGATGCTCAGTGCGTCCAACAGATCACAGTTGTGTGTTTTATGCTCAGATGATTGTTTCTTGTTGGTTTCAAGAACTTGACAGCATTGCCTTCCCTGATGGGGGCGACCAGCTCTGTGTCTCGGTTTTAAGAGTTAGAAATATGTATTATTATGTACTGTTGGGTGTTTATAGTAGTGGGAGGAGATTACATAAGAGAATATGGTGTTAACATGCATTTCTAGGTCATATATAACAATTTATGTGAAGCATCAGGTATTTTTGTGGATGTTTTACAACTTTTCCCTCCTCAACAAGTGTCTTTTGGGGGGAAATGACTCATGACAGAAAAGATGAAAATCTTCAAAGTTTCTTACAATAACCATAATATTATCATTTATGATTGAACTTAGGACATTCTCAATATCAAAATGACATTAATAGCTTTAGTCTTGAATTTCATTTTTGTTGCTTTACCAGAATATCGTCTTTAATTTCTTTCTGCTGTTATCAATGGAACTTATTTAAGGGTTAAATCATCCATCTAGAAAACACTAGCGGTCCCTGGTGACAAGCTGCAGGACTGGTTCATCTCAGCATCAGCAGCTGCTGCTTATAAATGCAGACATGGAAGAAATGAGTGGATTGATGTTGATTATGTGATGTTGAGCTGATTTACAGGCTGTCACCTGGTCTGACAGTCAGTAGAAGCTTTGTTTGCGTCCCCCATGGATTTATCTGGTGGCTTTTAGTGAACTCTGTCTTCATATTAATTGAGTTTTTGAGTGGGAGTTGAGAAGAGGAGGGGTGATACTGGCTGTGGTGAGGAGGTGTGGATGGAGGGAGAGGGTTTGTGGGGAAGCTTTAAAAGCCAGTAGATGGCAGTCTGCCTCACCATCCATGGTGGACTGTAAATTACAGCACTTAAACACCACCGCTTCTCCTTTTGTTCAAATGTGCTCCACGAAACTGCATTCAGGGGAGAATAAAGGGAGAAATATGAAGCTGTAAAAGCAATGACATGTTCTGATAGGCTTTCTGTTACATAATGGCACACTTCAAACCTCAGGGAAGAGAGGTACTTTGGCATTCATTAATCAGGCTACGATAAAGGAAGCTATTAAACGGTAGAAAAGGTACAACTTTATATCAGTGTTTAAAATTCATGATAAAATTTGCTCGACACATAGACTTATGAACAACAACGATCAAATACAGTGCCACAAAATGCTTCAGATTAATTCAACCAAACAGATTTTAATACCGATGATAACCGGTATTATAAAATTATTTAAAAAATAAAAAAACAGTTTTCAAACATTTAGAGATAAAAGCTTTCTGAGTCAGCATGCCCCAATGTGCAAAAACATAAAATGTCACCAACTAGTTTTGGTCTAGTTTCTAGTTTGTTGGCGTTTTGTTCTTCACTTGAAATAAGACAAAATTAACTTACAAGTAGTTTTTCAGAAAGATATAGGAGATTGTTTTAAGTAAATAATTCCTTAATCTTCATGGAACAGGAAAAATTCTGCTGACAGATTATTTCACTTATGAGAAAATATTTTATTATTAAAAAAAAAAAAAAAAGCAGTGCAGTGCTTTAGATGTTGTTCTGGGTTCGTTTTTGGCCTTTTGGACGAGCCACTAAGTTATTGGAGTAATTCCCAGTCAGTTCTGGGAAGGTTCTGTATTTAAAAATAATGGCTCTTTCTCTGATTCATTGAAGATCCACAGCAGATGCCAGTTGATTTGCTTCTCATCTGTGCTTGATGTTCTTTAAATTGGTGCTTTTCTTTCCATTAGACTACTTTATGTTCTACTTAAATAATCTGTTTGTTGTACAAGACTGGAACCGGACCCAACTTTACAAAAAACACAGCTAAACACAGATGATTTATTATGTAAAATCTTCATTTGAAATCTACATTTTGAATTTACCATGGTTATCTTTGTCTGTTGTTAAAATTAATTAGATCTGAAATTTCTATGACCCAAAATATGGAAAAAAATACAGTACTTCAGTACCTATGAATAAGGCCTGTATTACATTTGATTTTTTTACCTGTTCATTTCTTGAAAGCTGCTGACTTATTTAAGCTTTTAATTAACTGTAGTCTTTTATTTCACTGCGTAAGTGTCTGAGTTCCTTTCAGACTTATGAAACTCTCGCTGCTCTTTGCCTGTGCAGAAGCATACTTCATCAACACAGTGTGTCAGAGACAGTGGGTGGCAGAATGACACATTTCTCCATCAATAACAGTTCATCTTCTGACCATGTATATGCAGTGCCCCTAAAGCAATAAATCTAAAGACTTCCTGGATTATAGCCACCTCTTAATCCTGAAAATGACTTCAACAACGTAAAGCTGCTTTTCACTGTTGGGGGAGAGCAGGATAGCCACTTTTTTTTCCTTATATTTCATCTTATTTCCTTGAACTTTTCCATTAACTAATTTTTAAACAGTTGTGGTAGTTCAACTTAGAATACAGGGATATGACTAAATAGAGTGCAAACCTTTAACAAAACCTGTTCTACCTGAGACTGGGGCAAGACAACAAAATACAAAATGTATCCAAAACGGCAAAGGAATATCAGGAATAACAGAATTTTTAACAGTTTGGTCAAAGTCCAGGGCCAAAGCCAATTTATTGTAATTTGAAAAGGGAAATAAAAAAAAATTAAATTCTTGATGAGTCGGGCTGATAGAAATGTCTGAAATGATCTGCAGCCATAATTGGCCAAAAGTGTAAATCCTGACTGAGCTTCCATAAAGGACTGACTTATTGGCAGGGGATGCAAATGCAAATCACACTTTTTAAAACTTGTTCAAATATAAAAGCTTATACCACTCCTCTATGTTGCTCCAGTGTTAGTTTATTTATTCATATTTCTTAACAAGATTGAATGTTTTCTTGTTTAATTTAGTAAGTATGCTGTGTGTAATGTTGAGGACAGGACACAGAACATTAGTTTAACCAGTTTTATTCATGTTTTTTTTTTTTCTAATTAATAATGTTTTCAGCTTACATTTTTAAATAAGCTTAATCAGTTTGAGACGATTTGGATATGATGTAGTTTCTGAATGGTGGTAGGAATTTGAAACTGAGAACTTTATTATGGAAAGTTGTAAAAAGGTTTTCATCTATTCTCCTTCTGTTATTATTTAAATTAAAAGTCCACAAAATGAAATTACTTCCTGAACTTTTCAAATGGATCCTCTTCAATAAAAAGTAGGAGAACATAAGGCCTGAACACTTAGTAAATCTCTCACTCTCTGGCATGCAGTCACAATTTGAAAACGTTTCTCTTAAAGTGGGAAGAATCAAATTTTTTAATAACCTAAGCAGATACCAGAACTCTTATTTTGAAATTTTCCTTCCTTTCTTTGTCTTATTGGACAACTGATGTGAAACAATTGCAGCAGGATATTTTTGACATTAAATATTGGGAGCATGGGAAATTGCTAAAAGTTTCTTTTGTAAAACTGTACAAATTGATAGTAAAGCAGCAAAGCGTGAAAACAATTCTTTGCAGGTTCTTGTGTAATTCTTCTATTGTTGAAGCTGGATGATCACCTAAATCCATTTTTAAGGGGTGAGGTGTGATGAGGTGTTTCAAGCTGCACAGTTTAAAAGAAAAATCAGTAATTTCTTACTCTCTTTTCTTACTATCCAAAGCTTCCTTTTGCCTGCCTGAATAATTCCTGTTAATTAGAGTTTTTCAGGTCTACCTTGTAATTGTGCAGTGTTTTGGATTTCTTTTTAAATCCCATGGAACTTCTTATTTTGTCACATTATGACATCAAATTACAAAGTATTTATTGGCCATTTTGCAACAGGCCAACATAAAGCAGTACAGAATTATCATGTCAAAAAATACCTGAAAAAGAAACATTGAATAAAACTTCACCAACATTTAATTTTATTAGCAGATTTGTAACAAATTCTAGCCCAGGTTGAAAAAAACAAGAGATCCAAAAGCAGTCGCTATTGAATGAGTGAA